GCTGAGCGTGCTAGCAACGCAGCAGAGCGTGCTAGCAACGCAGCAGAGCGTGCTAGCAACGCAGCTGAGCGTGCTAGCAACGCAGCTGAGCGTGCTAGCAACGCAGCTGAGCGTGCTAGCAACGCAGCTGAGCGTGCTAGCAACGCAGCTGAGCGTGCTAGCAACGCAGCAGAGCGTGCTAGCAACGCAGCAGAGCGTGCTAGCAACGCAGCAGAGCGTGCTAGCAACGCAGCAGAGCGTGCTAGCAACGCAGCAGAGCGTGCTAGCAACGCAGCAGAGCGTGCTAGCAACGCAGCAGAGCGTGCTAGCAACGCAGCAGAGCGTGCTAGCAACGCAGCTGAGCGTGCTAGCAACGCAGCTGAGCGTGCTAGCAACGCAGCAGAGCGTGCTAGCAACGCAGCAGAGCGTGCTAGCAACGCAGCAGAGCGTGCTAGCAACGCAGCTGAGCGTGCTAGCAACGCAGCTGAGCGTGCTAGCAACGCAGCTGAGCGTGCTAGCAACGCAGCAGAGCGTGCTAGCAACGCAGCAGAGCGTGCTAGCAACGCAGCAGAGCGTGCTAGCAACGCAGCAGAGCGTGCTAGCAACGCAGCAGAGCGTGCTAGCAACGCAGCTGAGCGTGCTAGCAACGCAGCAGAGCGTGCTAGCAACGCAGCAGAGCGTGCTAGCAACGCAGCTGAGCGTGCTAGCAACGCAGCAGAGCGTGCTAGCAACGCAGCAGAGCGTGCTAGCAACGCAGCAGAGCGTGCTAGCAACGCAGCAGAGCGTGCTAGCAACGCAGCAGAGCGTGCTAGCAACGCAGCAGAGCGTGCTAGCAACGCAGCAGAGCGTGCTAGCAACGCAGCAGAGCGTGCTAGCAACGCAGCAGAGCGTGCTAGCAACGCAGCAGAGCGTGCTAGCAACGCAGCTGAGCGTGCTAGCAACGCAGCTGAGCGTGCTAGCAACGCAGCTGAGCGTGCTAGCAACGCAGCTGAGCGTGCTAGCAACGCAGCTGAGCGTGCTAGCAACGCAGCAGAGCGTGCTAGCAACGCAGCAGAGCGTGCTAGCAACGCAGCAGAGCGTGCTAGCAACGCAGCTGAGCGTGCTAGCAACGCGGCTGAGCGTGCGAGCGACGCAGCTGGGCGTGCTAGCAACGCAGCTGGGCGTGCTAGCAACGCAGCAGAGCGTGCTAGCAACGCAGCTGAGCGTGCTAGCAACGCAGCTGAGCGTGCTAGCAACGCAGCAGAGCGTGCTAGCAACGCAGCTGAGCGTGCTAGCAACGCAGCTGAGCGTGCTAGCAACGCAGCTGAGCGTGCTAGCAACGCAGCAGAGCGTGCTAGCAACGCAGCAGAGCGTGCTAGCAACGCAGCAGAGCGTGCTAGCAACGCAGCAGAGCGTGCTAGCAACGCAGCTGAGCGTGCTAGCAACGCAGCTGAGCGTGCTAGCAACGCAGCTGAGCGTGCTAGCGACGCAGCAGAGCGTGCTAGCGACGCAGCAGAGCGTGCTAGCGACGCAGCAGAGCGTGCTAGCGACGCAGCAGAGCGTGCTAGCGACGCAGCAGAGCGTGCTAGCGACGCAGCAGAGCGTGCTATTAACGCAGCAGAGCGTGCTAGCGACGCAGCAGAGCGTGCTAGCAACGCAGCAGAGCGTGCTAGCAACGCAGCAGAGCGTGCTAGCAACGCAGCAGAGCGTGCTAGCAACGCAGCTGAGCGTGCTAGCAACGCAGCAGAGCGTGCTAGCAACGCAGCAGAGCGTGCTAGCAACGCAGCTGAGCGTGCTAGCAACGCAGCAGAGCGTGCTAGCAACGCAGCTGAGCGTGCTAGCAACGCAGCTGAGCGTGCTAGCGACGCAGCTGAGCGTGCTAGCGACGCAGCAGAGCGTGCTAGCAACGCAGCAGAGCGTGCTAGCAACGCAGCAGAGCGTGCTAGCAACGCAGCAGAGCGTGCTAGCAACGCAGCAGAGCGTGCTAGCAACGCAGCAGAGCGTGCTAGCAACGCAGCAGAGCGTGCTAGCAACGCAGCAGAGCGTGCTAGCAACGCAGCAGAGCGTGCTAGCAACGCAGCAGAGCGTGCTAGCAACGCAGCTGAGCGTGCTAGCAACGCAGCAGAGCGTGCTAGCAACGCAGCAGAGCGTGCTAGCAACGCAGCAGAGCGTGCTAGCAACGCAGCAGAGCGTGCTAGCAACGCAGCTGAGCGTGCTAGCAACGCAGCAGAGCGTGCTAGCAACGCAGCTGAGCGTGCTAGCAACGCAGCTGAGCGTGCTAGCGACGCAGCAGAGCGTGCTAGCGACGCAGCAGAGCGTGCTAGCGACGCAGCAGAGCGTGCTAGCGACGCAGCAGAGCGTGCTAGCGACGCAGCAGAGCGTGCTAGCGACGCAGCAGAGCGTGCTATTAACGCAGCAGAGCGTGCTAGCGACGCAGCAGAGCGTGCTAGCAACGCAGCAGAGCGTGCTAGCAACGCAGCAGAGCGTGCTAGCAACGCAGCTGAGCGTGCTAGCAACGCAGCAGAGCGTGCTAGCAACGCAGCAGAGCGTGCTAGCAACGCAGCTGAGCGTGCTAGCAACGCAGCTGAGCGTGCTAGCAACGCAGCTGAGCGTGCTAGCAACGCAGCTGAGCGTGCTAGCAACGCAGCTGAGCGTGCTAGCAACGCAGCAGAGCGTGCTAGCAACGCAGCAGAGCGTGCTAGCAACGCAGCAGAGCGTGCTAGCAACGCAGCAGAGCGTGCTAGCAACGCAGCAGAGCGTGCTAGCAACGCAGCAGAGCGTGCTAGCAACGCAGCTGAGCGTGCTAGCGACGCAGCTGAGCGTGCTAGCAACGCAGCAGAGCGTGCTAGCAACGCAGCAGAGCGTGCTAGCAACGCAGCAGAGCGTGCTAGCAACGCAGCAGAGCGTGCTAGCAACGCAGCAGAGCGTGCTAGCAACGCAGCAGAGCGTGCTAGCAACGCAGCAGAGCGTGCTAGCAACGCAGCAGAGCGTGCTAGCAACGCAGCAGAGCGTGCTAGCAACGCAGCTGAGCGTGCTAGCAACGCAGCAGAGCGTGCTAGCAACGCAGCAGAGCGTGCTAGCAACGCAGCAGAGCGTGCTAGCAACGCAGCTGAGCGTGCTAGCAACGCAGCTGAGCGTGCTAGCAACGCAGCAGAGCGTGCTAGCAACGCAGCAGAGCGTGCTAGCAACGCAGCTGAGCGTGCTAGCAACGCAGCTGAGCGTGCTAGCAACGCAGCTGAGCGTGCTAGCAACGCAGCAGAGCGTGCTAGCAACGCAGCTGAGCGTGCTAGCAACGCAGCTGAGCGTGCTAGCAACGCAGCTGAGCGTGCTAGCAACGCAGCTGAGCGTGCTAGCAACGCAGCTGAGCGTGCTAGCAACGCAGCAGAGCGTGCTAGCAACGCAGCAGAGCGTGCTAGCAACGCAGCTGAGCGTGCTAGCAACGCAGCTGAGCGTGCTAGCGACGCAGCAGAGCGTGCTAGCGACGCAGCAGAGCGTGCTAGCGACGCAGCAGAGCGTGCTAGCGACGCAGCAGAGCGTGCTAGCGACGCAGCAGAGCGTGCTATTAACGCAGCAGAGCGTGCTAGCGACGCAGCAGAGCGTGCTAGCAACGCAGCAGAGCGTGCTAGCAACGCAGCAGAGCGTGCTAGCAACGCAGCAGAGCGTGCTAGCAACGCAGCAGAGCGTGCTAGCAACGCAGCAGAGCGTGCTAGCAACGCAGCTGAGCGTGCTAGCAACGCAGCTGAGCGTGCTAGCAACGCAGCTGAGCGTGCTAGCAACGCAGCAGAGAGTGCAAGCAACGCAGCAGAGCGTGCTAGCAACGCAGCAGAGCGTGCTAGCAACGCAGCAGAGCGTGCTAGCAACGCAGCAGAGCGTGCTAGCAACGCAGCTGAGCGTGCTAGCAACGCAGCTGAGCGTGCTAGCAACGCAGCTGAGCGTGCTAGCAACGCAGCAGAGCGTGCTAGCAACGCAGCAGAGCGTGCTAGCAACGCAGCAGAGCGTGCTAGCAACGCAGCAGAGCGTGCTAGCAACGCAGCAGAGCGTGCTAGCAACGCAGCAGAGCGTGCTAGCAACGCAGCAGAGCGTGCTAGCAACGCAGCAGAGCGTGCTAGCAACGCAGCAGAGCGTGCTAGCAACGCAGCAGAGCGTGCTAGCAACGCAGCTGAGCGTGCTAGCAACGCAGCTGAGCGTGCTAGCAACGCAGCAGAGCGTGCTAGCAACGCAGCTGAGCGTGCTAGCAACGCAGCAGAGCGTGCTAGCAACGCAGCAGAGCGTGCTAGCAACGCAGCAGAGCGTGCTAGCAACGCAGCAGAGCGTGCTAGCAACGCAGCAGAGCGTGCTAGCAACGCAGCAGAGCGTGCTAGCAACGCAGCTGAGCGTGCTAGCAACGCAGCAGAGCGTGCTAGCAACGCAGCTGAGCGTGCTAGCAACGCAGCTGAGCGTGCTAGCAACGCAGCAGAGCGTGCTAGCAACGCAGCTGGGCGTGCTAGCAACGCAGCTGAGCGTGCTAGCAACGCAGCTGAGCGTGCTAGCAACGCAGCAGAGCGTGCTAGCAACGCAGCTGAGCGTGCTAGCAATGCAGCTGAGCGTTGGAGCATCGCAGCTGAGCGTGCGAGCAAAGCAACGCAGGTGGGTGGGGGAAAACGCAGCTGGGTGGGGGGGGGAATGCAGCTGGGTGGGGGGGAACGCAGCTGGGTGGGGGTGGGACACAGCTGGGTGGGGGAAAACGCAGCTGGGTGGGGGGGGAACACAGCTGGGTGGGGGGGGAACGCAGCTGGGTGCGGGGCTGACGCAGCTGTTTGGGGGGCTTCAGGGCACTGCGCAGCATGATGTTGAGGTCAATGGCCGCGCTGTGCCCCTTTCATTGATGCACACTGTCTAACCTGCACCCATAGCTCATTCCCTCCTTCCCTCCCACTGTGTACCTGCAGGGCGTTGCGCAGCATGATGTGAAGTTCAATGGCCAAGGTGTGCCCCTTTCATTGATGTGCACTGCCTAATGCGCAAGCACCCATACCCTGGCCACGCTGTCCCTCTCTCCGCACCTGCAGGGCGTTGCGCAGCATGATGTTGAGGTCAATGGCCACGGTGTGACCCGCAGCCTGGCAGTCGGAGCCGAGGCGGGACGTGAGGTCGCCCACCGACTGGCCGTCAAAGAAGGCAATGTCCTGCCGGATCAGCGTCTCGTATAGCGCCAGCCTCATTCGCCGCACCTGGACACGGGGGGGGAGCAGAGCAGGGGAAGGGGGTTCGCAGAGTCAAAGAAGAATGAGATGTCCTGCCGGATGAGCGTCTCGTACAGCGCCAGCCGCATTCGCTGCACATAGACAACGTGGGAGAGAGAGGACTGGTTAAGGGTGGGGGTGACAAAAGGAGATGTCCTGCCGGATGAGTGTCTCGTATAGAGCCACCCACATTCGATGCACCTGGACATCGTGGGAGAGAAAAAAATGGTTAAGCGGTGGGGTTGACAGAAGGAGATGTGGTGGCGTATTAGAATGGTGGGAAGTGGGAAGGGAGTCGCATTTGCCACCAAGAGGAGAGGAGTGCAAGGGCGTGCAGATGGGCTAAGGACACTTCCATTCCCCCTCATCCCTGTCCCCCTCACTTTGTTTCCCCTCACTTCCATTCCCCCTCACTACATTTCCCCTCACTTATATTTCCCCTCACTCTTTTTCCCCTCACTTCTGTTCCCCTTCACTTAACTTCCCCTCACTAAGATTGCCCTTCACTCTATTTCCCCTCACTTCCATTCCCCCTCACTTATATTTCCCCTCACTCATTTTCCCCTCACTTTCATTCCCTCTCACTCCATTCCCCCTCACTCAGGCGAGGGTCAGAGTGCAAGCAGGCATGTGAAAGGAGCGTGTTGTGCAGTCTGCACTGACCATTTGGAGATTGAGGATGGTGAAAGAAGCAGCCCTCAGACCACTGCATGGATGGACAAGACAAGGGTGAGACGAGGACAGCGGAGAGCAAGGTAAGTCAGTGTCGCTCAGGTTGCCTGTGGGTACAGAGAGAAGTGGTCTACATTGCGCACACCTGAACATGACACCTGAGCATGCCGCACACCTGAACATGGCACCTGAGCATGACGCACGCCTGACATCACACACACCTGAAGAGCCCGCAGGCGAGCGTCATGGTGATGAGGAGCTGCACATTCCTGTCAAACTGGGGCTTGAGCCCGTTGGACGCGGCAAATATGGTGGCCGCCAGGAAGTGCGGGATGGTCACCTCCGACAGCTGGAAGAAGAGAAGGACGGGAGGGGAAGGGAGAAAGGAATGATAATGGGGAAAGTAGTGCATGCCCAAACGGTGCAGGGAGGAGAGGTGATTGGCGCAGGCTCACGGGGGGAAGAAGTGGTGTGGTAGGGGGAGACGCCGGGTAAAGTTGCAGTATCATGGAGGGGAAAACGGTGGTGACCATGGGGGAGTAGAGATCCGCGAGGGGAGTGGATCTCCCGCACGGAATGGCGGACGGAATGGGGGGGAGGAGGAGGAGATCTATTGGAAAGGAAGGGTGCAGGACTGACAGCGGCGAGGGCGAGGCAGAGCGAGGCGCAGACGAGCATGGTCCTGTTGGGCGCGCAGAACCGCCAGAGCTTGCGAATGGCGTCCCACAGCTCGCCTGGCGAATCCCCACCCCCCTTCCCGCTCTCACTCCCACTGCTATCCCCACTGCTGCTACCACTGGTCCCTTTCCCGCGTGCTGCCTTCCCTCCAGCCAGCTTCTGCAGGTCCCACCAGCTCCCACGTGGCAGCACGGAGCGCAGCACAGCAATCGCCCTCCAAACCGCCACTGGAATTCGGCACATTGCGTGTCCGAACGCCTCTGGGAATCCTGCTTGTCCATCCAGTAGCACGGCTTTCCGCGATTCCTCCTGCTCCCTTAACTCAGAGCCACTGCTGACTCTTGCTCGAACCCCGCCATTCCCTTTGCTGGCGTCATGGTCGGCCGAGAGCGTTCTCTCGCTCACAGCGCTCCCGTTCCCTACTCCTGACGCGGATTCGTCCTCTTTCGAGCGCGCATCTGCATAAACGTGGCTCGTTTGACGAGCACCATCACTCTCCTCTACCTCACGAACAGAATCCTTGTATTTCTCCCGCCGGTTGCGCGATCCCGCGAGAGCTCCGTTGTCCTCCTCTATCCCTGTCTCCGACCCCATTTGCGCCTCTTCATAAGACTCGATTTCCCACACCCCGCCGCCTGTCCCGCCTCGTCCCGGCCCTTGCTGGTCACCCAACGACCACTCGCGGTGGCTGCTGCCATCTGCTGTCTGGCAAACGATAGTCTGGCGACGACTGTTACGATTACGGATTGCAAACGACGAGGATGACGGGAATGATGCAGGAGACGGACGGTGCAAGAAGCCAGGACCTCTCAACTGGCGACGAGTCGTAGAATTGACCTTGCAGTCAGATTTAACAAGTTGACAGGAATGGGATTTCAATCCTCTGCTACCCGAGCCGCTAAGAACAGGGTGAAGCGCAAACACTGGCTGATTGGGGGAACCATTGACAATGTGCGTGATCTGGCTCTTCGAGATGCGATTTGATTCTCCAGTGAGCGGAAAGTGACCACGATTCATTGTTCGCGCGGGTTGAACAGTCGACATCGTTGCTTCTATGGCGGCATGAGAACCTCGCAAGGTCCTAATGGGGTTACACTGATACTATTGCTTTGAATGTATAGTACTGGTAGTGATGATGTAAGGCCGATGCAAAGCTGAAGCTTCGCAATCACGAGAAAGAGCGTAATGATGAGTGGAATTCGTGGCCTAAGTGATACGCTAAAGCAAGCACGCTTTATTCATCCGCTGGAAACCTGAATCCAAGCGCAGCCATGGACTAGCGGTTCTTCATCAGTCGTTACCCCTACAAGGCAGTTCAAGATTCAGGAGGAGGAATGAGGATACTCGAGCAGAGGGTGGTGGGGTGGTGGTGGTGTGAGGAAGTGCAACCGAACTGGGTTACTGGGAAATGTGGTTTGTTATCCGTCAGAAGTCCAGCGTAAAGGCTGGTGAGCCGTCAGATTTGATCTGGCAAACATCGAGGTGCCTACGAAGCTGTGGCTCGCCCTCTGCCAAGCCTCAGATATTGGTTCAGGCTAGGCCGGGTGGCGGCCCAATCTGACGAGCCATAAGCTTCTGTGGCCCTCTGAGCATCGAGAATTTCGAGGTGAGGTACACGTGGCAGAAAAAAGGCTGATGGGCGTCTGGGTTCACGAAGCGGCAGAATGAGGCGAACTTCAGCCAGAGTGAAGCGAAAGTTCGCTAATTTTTCGCCACCAATGAAATTACTTTCCACGTTACCCCAAACAAGGAACACGCACAGAAACCAGCTGGATGCTTCAGTTCCAGCGTCAGCAAGCTGAATTGCAATTCCAGCAGGAGCAAAAGTTTCAGGCAATTCCGCGAATTCTATGGCGGAACCAGCCTCTTAGAACTTGCTGATGGACATGACACAAACAGGGAGGACTATAACTGGGTTATGTAAGCGCTCAATTCAATATCCTGCGTTTACATTCATAGGCCACCAGAGCGTAAGCGTCTTCGCGTGGAAGTACTTTCAGTCTCATCCGCGTCAACGATTGACTGATTCACGACATCGATTTCCATCAGCAATTTTTCACTCTGCCAGTTGTCCCTTCGTCCCCTCTAGCACGCCAGTATTCGGCCTTTCTAGTCATATCCGCATCCCTAAACGCCAGTCATCCTTGGCTCTTGCGAGTGCGCTCCCAGACGCCATGGCGGCCGTGACTGACTCCAACTACCTCGCGATCACCGCTGTAGTCACCATTGCGTACCAATTATCATTCTTCGTGATTGCTGCTGGCTTCAAGTTCGATAAAGTCACCGATTTTGCGGGTGAGCATCAGCCAATCTAGCAGGCTCCTCAGAAAGTTCGTTCTCGCCCAATTATCCGTTCCAACATTCCGTCGCTTTTTAGGGTGGTCCATTTGAATCAACATTTTTCCTTTTCATGCGAGGGCCGTTTTCAGGAACCACCAACTTCATTGTCCTCGCTCTCCTCACCTCCTTTCTCAGTGGAACCTGGTACTGGCGGCAGGTACCATACTTCAGACTGATGTCATTCCGTGACGCAATTTCTTGCGAAATCATAGGGTTACCACCTTGGTAGAAATTGTTGGGATAACAAACTTCGGAGGGTCTTCTTAGGAGGCGATGCCCCCACTGCTCGTTGTTTCTTGGCTCTCGTTTCGTGCCTCTCACTCACGGCTTGCCTGGGTCCGTGCAGGTCCTGGTGACATCCCTTGTCGTCATCTGGGGCCTTCGCCTCGGCCTTTTCCTTCTCTTCCGGTGTGTTCACTTGCTTTCACCGTAATTGCTCTCCTAGTCTCTCGTTGCTCCTGACCCTCCTCTCTATTGCTTCGCTCCCCGTCATCTCGCACCCTACTCTCTTTCCCTATCTTATGGCTCAGTCGCTCCTCCCAACCTTTTGTCTCATGCGTGCCTGTCAGCATCCTTGCATGGGGCGAGGACCACAGGTTCGACCAGACGCGCAACAACGTCCTGCAGTTCGCCATCTTCTGGGCATTCCAGGTACCACACATGCATCACACTCTGCCTGCCTCTGGCCTTTGAATCGACTCAAAAGTCAACGTCCTGCAGTTCGCCATGTTCTGGGCATTCCAGGTACCACACATACGTCACACTCTGCCTGCCTGTGGCCTCTCCACATTCTACCTTCCTCCACTCTCTGCCTCCCTCACTCCCACATCGTCAACGCCACGGTCACCCGCAACCCCCCTCTGGGCCCTCTTCGTTCCCTGCATGATTCGCCCCTCCCCTCTCCTCGTCCAATCAGGCGGTGTGGGTGTGGGTGGTGTCGCTCCCAGTCACCATCGTCAACGCCACAGTCACCCGCAACCCCCCTCTGGGCCCTCTGGACGCGCTGGGGTGCGTGCTGTGGGCGGCAGGGGTGCTGCTGGAGGGGGCGGCAGACCAGCAGAAGCTGCGGTTCAAGGCAGATACTGCCAACCGCGGCCACTGGTGTGACGTGGGCGTGTGGAGCTGGTCCCGCCACCCCAACTACTGTGGCGAGGTGAGTGTATGCAGGAGAATGTACGGTGAGAGTGAGTATGGGGAGGTGAGGTAGGGAGTGAATGGTGACTCGGTATGGGGAGGTGAGTGTGAGTCATGGCGTATAATGCGATGCGGTTGAGCATTAGAAGGGACTAGAGTGAGAGATGGCATGAGCATGGGATGTTAATGTGACCATGCGGGCGAGGAATCTGCTTAAGCATAGTAAGGTGCGAAGCACGGCAGTCTTTGCTGCCTATAACTGGCCATGCTGCCACACCACCCACACACACACCGCTCCCTCCTTCCCTTCCGCTATGAAACATTGTCAGATTATGGCGTGGGTGGGGGTGCTGGTGGTGAGCTCAGCGGTGTTACAGGGATGGCAGTGGGTGGCAGTGGCGAGTCCGCTATTCACTGCCACCATCCTACTCTTCCTCTCCGGCATGCCTCTGCTTGAGGTGCGTGCCTGGCACCATACACTCGTTTGTAATTGTGCTCATCATTGCATTCATCGTTGCGTTTATGCTTTCACAGGTTGATGCATTGCTACATCCTTGTACTCTGTTGATGATTGCTGGATTCACGCCTTTCCAGCGGCTGTCCATGTCTCACTCCATGCCTGCCCACTGCCTCCATGCACGCATCCCCCTATCCCTGTGTCGCCAATCCCATCATGCACCCATGGCAGGAGTCTGCCAACAAGAAGTTCGGCCAGAGGGCAGATTATCTTCAGTACCGTGCCAACACCAGGTGAGTGCGGGGCACTGTCAGTACCGTCCAATTAGTCCATTCGTTTGAAGAGCAACGTGCAGCCTGGCGCATGTGCATGTGTGCACTCCAGTAACCACCTCAATATGTGCCCATTCTGTGTGCTTGCCTCTCTCCTCTCCTACTGCCTGCCTGATTGTGCCGCTCTGCCTGGTATGTGTAGCCCTCTCATCCCACTCCCTCCTGGCCTCTACGCCATGCTGCCGCACTTCATCAAATTCGCCTTCTTTCTTGAGCTGCCCATCTATGCGGAGCACCTTTCAACTGCCCGCAACGCGCTCATTCAAGAAGACCAGTAGACTCGTTGATAGCCTAGCCTTGCATATCCACAAGGTCATTCTCCTCAGGCTGGTTGATAGTGAAGAGAGGAATTCGCATATCACCATTTGCTGCACTTGAAAATCACACGCCACTTGAAGAGGTGGACCAGCAGCAGCATTTCTACCAAGCAGCAGGATGCAAGGCAAAACAGTAAAACACCCACTCGAAATTCTTTTTCCTCACAAGACTGCAGGACCCATGCTATTTCTTCGCAGGGTACAGTGCTATATACGAGTAACAATGATAACATCAGTACTGCCCCCTCACAAGTCACGCAGCAGGTTCTTTGAGGCTTCATAAGTGGACCAGACAATGGCGGCAGCGGGTGTGTGAAAGAGCACACGTGCTCGCATTCCCCTCAGCAGCGCACCCCACCCTTCTTCCCTCGCTATGCTTCTCAGTGCTGCCGTCACCGATGCACTCTGCAGCCGCTTCACCCCACACACACCCTGCACTCACGTCACGAGCAGAAGTCGGGAAAGAGCGGTGCCGGGAGGGGGGAGAGGAGGAGTTGCGGTGAGAAATGGGGGAAAGAAGTGCAGTATGGGTGTGTGATGAGTGTGTTAACACAATATGCTCACCACCCCTCCTTCCTCACTGCATTGCCTCCCCAGGTAACGCCTCCTCCCCACCCGTGCACCCTTTAACGCACCTGGCACTGCAGCCTCGTCTTCACCACATCAAGAGGATTAGTCACAGCACTAGCCAGCGCGCCAGCAGCGCCGCCTGCCAGCACGTGGGTGAGCAGCCTGTCCTCGTCCAGCACGCCCTCCCCAGGTAACGCCTCCCCCCTACACACCCGTGCACCCTGCAACCCACCTGGCATTGTAGGCGTGTCTTCACCACATCAAGAGGATTAGTCACAGCGCTAGCAAGAGCGCCAGCAGCGCCACCCGCAAGCACGTGGGTGAGCAGCCTGTCCTCGTCCAACACGCCCTCCCCAGGTAACGCCTCCCCTGGTAATGCCCGCCCCAGGCCCGCCTTGCTGGCCTCATACGTGGCGAAGTGCACGGCTGTGAAGGGCACGTTCATGACAAGTGTGGTGCGGTAGGAACGGTAGAAGGCGCGAATTCCCTCCTCGTGTAGCATCTGGAATGTGGGAAGAGGGCATGGGGACACACGGGCGATGAGAGCGGCTGTGAAGGGCACGTTCATCACTAGCGTCCTGCGGTAGGAGCGGTAGAAGGCGCGGATTCCCTCCTCGTGTAGCGTCTGGAATATGTGGGGAGAAGAAAAGCGGCAGAGTTACGAGGAAACCGCGGTTGGAAGAGGGGGGGCGGATTGAAGGGGAGATGGCGGGGTGTACATGGCAGTGAAGGGCGTATGCATGACTGGGTTCATGCTGTAGGAATGGTGGCGGGGAATGGTGGCGGGGAGTGGTGGGGGGGGAGTGGTGGGGGGGGAGTGGTGGGGGAGAGTGGTGTGGGGGGAGTGGTGTGGGGGGAGTGGTGTGGGGGGAGTGGTGGGGGAGAGTGGTGTGGGGGGAGTGGTGGGGGAGAGTGGTGTGGGGGGAGTGGTGGGGGGGAGTGGTGGGGGGGAGTGGTGGGGGGGGGAGTGGTGTGGTTGGAGTGGTGGGGGGGGAGTGGTGTGGTTGGAGTGGTGGCGGCAGAGTGGCGGCGGGGGAGGGGAGTGGTGGAGAGGCAGGGGACAAGCATGGGCAATCAGCTGGTGACGTGCAGCCAGTGAGGAGATGGGAGCTGCCAATACTCACTATTCACTCCCATACTATAGCCACCTTCTCTTTTCGATCCTTAACCCATCCAACCCTCTCACGCACAGTCCCCAGCCTTTCCCTCGGCCGCTCCCACCAGAATTCCCCTAACAGCTCCCCACTCCCCTCAAGGCTTGCCCCCGGCCCTTTTCCCCAAACAATCTCACCCCCACCCGCCGTGCAGCAGCAGTCCACCACGCCGGCATACTGGCTGCGCCTCAGCTGCAGTCTTTATGAGGAATTTGTGAGAATTCTCAAGAACCACCACCGCCCCACGCACCTCCCCACCCACTTCTCCACTCGCCCCCCCACGCACCTCCCCACCCACCTTACGGCAGCAGTCAACCACCCCAGCATACGGGCTGCGCTTTAGCTGCAGGCGCTGCTTCACCACGTCCATGGGCGTCAGCACGCCCCCCTCTCCCCTGGATCCCAGGCAGTCCGTGCATACCACGCACCTTACGGCAGCAGTCCACCACGCCAGCATACGGGCTGCGCCTTAGCTGCAGGCGCTGCTTCAACGTCCATTGGCGTCAGCACCGCGTCGCTCGCCACCGTCGCCAGCGCGCCCGCCGTCGCATGCGCGACCGCTGGCGGCAGCGAAAACCCTAAAGCCGGCGTTAACCCTAAACCGTCGGCACCGCCACTGCTGCTGCTGCTACTGGTGTTTCTGAGTAACGACTCTTTCGCCGCTTCGTAAACGGCGAAGTACACTGCATGGGCAGGTCCGGCCCCCAGTCCCATGGCCGCTATTCCTCGATATAAGCCTGCTGCGCCTTCCGTTTTGAGGATAGACGAAACTGCGTTCCTGATCGTGGGCGAATGCGACAGGCCCTGCGGCGCTGCTGCTGCTGCTGGATTCGCGACAGTACACGTGGATTGGAAGGCACATGACGTGGCAGCGGGGACGCCACGAGAGGCGGAGAGAGACGAGAAGGAGGAAAGCGCGGACGGGGATGCGGACGGGAGGGCGGAAAAAGCGGGGGAGGGTGCGGAGGGTGCGGGGGGAACGGGGGGCCCGGTGGTGGCGAGCGCTTGCATGCGCGTCTTGATTGTGTCGACGGGGAACATTGCCATGTGCTCTACCATGCCTGGCGGGCGGGAAAGCGCAACAAGATTGGGAAGTTTCGAGAGGTTTTGAAATATTTCCAAGATTTTCAAGAAACCACGAACACGTGCTCCACGAGGCAGAGTCAGACATAGACGCTGACTCGCCACGTGGGCGCGTCGAGATGGGTGGAAACGCTCCAGCAGCAGGAGATTCCGGAATTCACTGTGCGAGAGATTGAAAATGTGAGCGAGTGGCTGGTGACGCCATGGCGAGTGACGGGGCGCTAGAGAGAGCCAATCGGGATCGGCGGCGCAACGAGCGCCAGGATTCTCCCGAGGTTACGACTCGCTTCGAGATCCGCGACGCAGCCTGCGACGCTCTGCTCTGAGCGACACGCACCTGCGACGGATCCTGCGACCATGTGCTGCCAGAAGCTCAGTCCGTCGACTCTACGCTCATCCTCCTCCGCCCCTGCCGCCGCAACTTGCGACAGCCCGCGTGCCCCCCACGCGCCGTGATCCGCGCCGTGATCCGCGCCTTGATCCGCGCCATGATTCGCGGAAGCCCGCTGTTCCGCCGGCTCTTCAGCTCCACTCCTTCCACTGACGGCTGGCTGCCTGCCATGTACTGGATCCGCTACAACCGCCCCGTCGTCCGCCCTGTCTACTGGCCCTGCTACAGCCGTCCTCTCGCCTCCCTCCAGAACAGCCATCCTCTCCGCCGGTTCAGTCAATCTTGCTTTCCCTTCAAACGCTCCTGGACCTGAGTCCCCTCTCCCTTCTTTATTCAGATCCGATCTGCCTTGGCTGATAGAATCCGATGGATGCGGCGCCAAATCTCGGCGCGCGATGGTTCGCGGCGGGAGCAGTCTGCCGATCTCGGGAGCTGCGGCCGCTTCGATGGTGGGCGGCATTCCCTCTCGTCTGGAACAAGCAGAAGGCGCACGACTGTAGCACAGGCTTGCAGCACTATCCGATCTCCAAGAGCTGAGTCGATGGCGGCCCTGTCATAACAGAGTTGGATTTAAACCGCAAATGCGACCAAGCTACTTAGAGAACGGTGAGAGGAACTAGAAGAAAGAAACTGGGCTGACGAATTGGCATGAAGCGCGATGCATGAATGCGTTGGGCGGACTTGGCAAGGAACGGGTGCGAAGGAGTACGGGAAGTAGTCCCTACGCTGCTCACGTGGCGAGGCGTGCTTGAGTTTCATTGCATTCCTAGCAGTTGACACGGCCCTGGAGTTTGTCATTCAGCGTACGTTTCAGAGAACCTTGGCACACCCGATGACCGTACCGACTAGGTTCATGTCATGAGACCATGTGGCGTGTCCACCTGGCGTGAATCGGGCAAAGAACAATCGAGCGACTGAAGGATCCACTATGGAATATAGTAACGTCGCCACTGCACACTTGGAAAACGAAATGAACGTGATTTAGTGTATGATGGAACATGGAGTTCGTTCTTCAAGAAACGCGAAGGGTGAAAAGTATTTCACCAAAGCTAGAAGATGAATCGCTATACAACAACACCTGAGATTAATAACGAGATACTAGTCTGACAATGGAGTGCGTGTTGCTGTGGCGTGTGTGTGCGTCGTCATCACGTGCGTGCACCCGCTCGGATAGGTAACGACAGCACGATGTGGCCTTGACCGAGAGCCACAACCCGCACCAACGAAGATATTCTCTCGCGGTCAGATGGCCGCAGGCGTCCGGCAAATCACGCTGCAGCAATGTCACCGTCGATTGGCCATACCATGGCGGGCACGCGAATGCGGGACCACACAGCCAGTCCTCGCGATGTGCCGGCAAGTCCTTCTTTCCAAGTTCCGCGATTCCCGCCTAGGAGCCCTATCTGAACTCCATGGAACTGTAAAATGCCACGCGGAACGGACTTCACGGTCAATGGGATATGGTTCGAATTTCCAGCCAATGGAATCCATCTACCGCATTCTTTGTGGTTCAGCTTACTCGACGAGCAGATTTTCCACATTTGAATGGAAATCATGATGAATGTCTCCAGAACAGGCAGTTCTTGTCCATGGATCCCAAAGCGCCACCGTTTCGACGGTCGGCTACCACAAAATCTGCCAACCTAGAATGGTATTCAGGACAAGGGACGACGACGTGTATCGAAAGCTGGTCGGTCCTTTCAAAGCCACATTCGCGACAGCTGTGGGACGGTTAGATCTACTTCCTTCACGTCGCAGGTGGTCGTCGTAAAAAATCTGGGTCGTGGAATGCGGACCAGCCGACGACATGACTGACTGAAGCCCTTTGCCAAACTGTCGCATGCGATATTTTTACAGCCACACATGGGATTCGCATCGCACGAGCGGAAAGATGACCAAAAGATTGGCGTTTCCCCTCAAAGCAGGAGAAAAGCTTCATGTTTTGTGATATTTCGCTACGATAGCCCCAGCAAGCGTGGATGGCTAAAACTGGAATTCCTACTGATTTGCTTCTTATCTAAACAGCACGACATTCGTGACTCTAATATGACCAGGAACCGCCGGTTTCAGATCTTTGTGTTTTTCCTGAGTATCCCAGGGTGTTTTTGTGACAGCTGGAGTGTCACAGCGATCCAGGAAGCAAAGCCGGGTTACAATCATCTCTTCCGCGTAAGCAGTGCAGGGCTCCTTGCGTGCACAGCAGCCAATCCAGCAGCCAATTCTGCCCAGCTGCGCATTGGTTTACGTAAACCCTGCCAACCGCCCATAGTCCTCCACATCCACATTCACAGTTTCCTGTCTGGTTTGGACTGAACTGGCTGTAGAGAAGCCCAGCTGTTCATTTCTTCGCATTGCAGGTGGACCAGCTCTTCGCACGACAGAATTCCTCCCAGATAGCCGCTAATTCTGTACATAGAAGCGGAAACCTGCCTACACCATGCACTACGCCATGGCTCCGGAATCCAGTGATCGGTCACAGGAGTACAAGAGAACTCAGACTAGCAGCCCCGCAAAACGACCGCGAAAATGCCCCAGCGACTCTTCACTGGCGTCGCCTCTCTCCGATCTCCGTCTCGACGACGACAGCGACGCCGCGCAGCCTGCGACGACGCCCTGCTGCGACGCCGTGTTTCCGGAATGCACGGCGCGCCTCGATGATTACTTCTCGATCTGCGACGAGCCAATCGGTTCCGGCCATTTCGGCGTAGTACGTCGGTGCGTGAACAGAGAGACAGGCGAGGTGCTCGCGTGCAAGACAATTCTGAAGGAACGACTGCTGACGGAATCGGCGAGGGACGAAGTGCGGCGCGAAGTGGCGATAATGCAGAACGTTGCGGGACACCCCGGCGTGGTGCAGCTTCGAGCGGTGTTCGAAGATGAGTCTGAGATTCATCTCATCATGGAATTGTGCGAAGGCGGTGAATTGTTCGACGAAGTCGTGCGACGAAAGAAGTTACCAGAGAAAGAGGCGGCGCTGATCTTCCGTCAGATTGTGTCAGCCGTTGCATTCTGCCATTCCCGCGGCATTGTGCATCGCGACCTGAAGCCCGAGAACATTCTCATCCACCGATCACAACCGGCTCCTACCGGAACTTCGCCGACTCCTTCTCAGACTCCCTCGCAACTGCTCGCGAAAGTCGCGGATTTCGGCCTCGCGGTGCAGATCGATCGGGAAACCCGGGCGTGCGGCATTGCCGGGTCCCCATTCTACATCGCACCGGAGGTGCTGACCGGAGAGTATGGCGCGGAGGCGGACGTGTGGTCGCTGGGCGTGGTGCTGTACGTGCTGCTGAGCGGCAGCCCGCCGTTTTGGGGCGCGGACGACAACGGCGTGTTCCGCGCCGTGCTGGAGGCGCCGCTGGACCTCACGAGCGGCGCGTGGGCGGGGGTGTCGGCGGAGGCCAAGGGGCTGCTTCGCTGCATGCTACACCGCGACCCGCGCCGACGCCCCTCCGCCGCCAAGCTGCTCTCCCACCCCTGGATCCTCGTCCACGCCTTCGGCGGCCGCGTTGTGCGCAAGATTGTGTCACGGCAAGCCATGGCTGCTGCAGTTGCGGGTTCAGCTGGAACGACTCAGACGAACCAAGTGGCTGGCGGTACGGTGAGGGAGGACGGAGCTGCGAATTTGCCTGTGTTGAAAATGTCTGCGTAACTTTCTTTCCCCGTAGTAGATCCGTTTTTGAATTGCTTTGTATTTTGTACAGCTGAATTTATTCAAAGTGTTGTTGTAACCTTGGCTGAAATTGCCATCCCTCTAAGAAGTAGATTCTGGATTGCATCGCTCAGATAGCAGCTATGCTAAAAAACAGGTACTACTCATAAGTGCAATGCTATTCACAATTGACGACTTCGAATCATCATGCATCTTGACAGCGTATGACTTTTGTCCAACCTCTGATTAGACGTTCCAAGGGACGTAAACATACTAAACATGAAAGTCTGAATTTCAGCTATTGCACTCCAGCCTGCTGTAGACTGAGCTTCACGTAGCTCTCAGCTTTCTCCACAGGAACCAGCGGAACCACATCCGCAGCCTTCTTTACGTACGGGATGTCGGATTTTTGAAATGACGCAACGACGGTGTTGTACTTACTGGCGGCTGCGAATACCGTGGGGTATGCTGCTACCACCACGTGGGGAACAAGCGGCATGGACAACGCCAAGCGCCACAAGAAGACAAGGTAGGCTGACAGAACCGGCTCCAGAGAGTCGTAGTAATAGGATTTTGCAGCGCCAAGGGCACCCTTTTCCTGATAGTCGTGAAGGGCCTCCTTGGCACGCACAGGAACAGTGCGGACAAAATCCGACGCTTTGTACGCCAGGTCCCAGGGGATGTAGCTGTCCGCGTACTTCAGTGCGACGTCAACCTGAACGCCGAAAGGACCCGTCAGATTTTGTGCAATATGGAAGGTGGGGGTATGATGGTAACGGGTATATTGGATCTTACCTTCTCGTCGGCGAAACGAAGTACTTCGTCCGGCTTGTCCTCAATCTTAGTCCACACAGGGCCAACCACGGTTCTGACCATGCTCTCCACCCTGTCAATTCCTGTTCGAAGCGAGCCTGAGTTTTCCTTAGCTTGCTCGTAAAGCTTAAAGAGGAGGATGTACAAGCTTATCACGGCGTGCCTAGCGAATTCGAGATGTTTTAGGCCTAAATTGGCTGTGGAAGAACTGCGAGACGAAGAGGGATCCGCCATAGCCTCCGTAACCTGCTGATCCCAACTAAGCAAGAAACTGGATTGCTTGACAAGATTCACTGAGGGAGTCGCGAAACAAACTGCAGGAAATAGGCGGAATCGATCCTCAATGGCTTCAAGTAGAAGAGGCACGAGCAGTTGCAAACAAGGAAAATCTAGCTTCCCCCTCGGAACTTGAATCTGTGACGTCGGTTGGGAGGGGGAGATGGGACCTGGAAATGACAGCAAGAACGACAACCGCAAGCAACCTTCAATTGGTGGGGTACGTTGGAGAAGGGTGCAAGTTCGGGCAGGGGAAAAAACTGCTACGATTGGCGGGATCGCTTTCGGGGCTGTGCCATCGTTCTGAAACGAACGGCAGTCAGCGCATTCCAGCTGGTGCATCAGAACATTTGGGCTGCTGGTTGGGACCACATGGGAGGAGCGATTCGGCGTACCTGTGACGTGATTGCACGGTCAACTCAAAGTTCCAGAAGGCGAAAGCATCAAGAATATCTACGGAATTTTCGAAAGCACCGCAGCGAACAAGGATTGACGCAGAAATGTCCCTGAAACACGTAAGCGCTGACCAACCAGAAACCTTGAAAGAACAAAAGAAACCCGAGTGTGAGCTCCTAGCTCAGAGTTGGAAATGTCGTGGGTTGCGTCCGCGATGAATAAAATCGTTAGGAACAACGCATTGTACAAGTCAGCACCTCAAAATGGTTACTTCCGCCTAATAACAGAGATACCACCCATGTATGGCCTCAAAACCTCTGGAATTTCTACAGAGCCATCTTCTAGTTGGTAATTTTCTAGAATGCTCACGATCAGGCGAGGAACCGCACAGGCTGTAGCATTCAATGTATGGGCAAATCGTGGTGGGGCCAAAGGCGCCTTGGCTTTGCCACCTTTCTTCCCTTTCTCTGGCTTGGTAGGGCTTGCTTCCTGGTCACCAGAGCTCGTTGCAGGGCGATATCTGATGTTCAGCCGACGAGCTTGATAGTCAGTGCAGTTTGACGCACTAGAAATCTGCAACCCACAATCAGGTGCAAGCATTAGGACGAGGTTCCCCACCAAGGCACCAAACCAAAAAGAACAACCAACAACCACTGGTGTACCTCTCCGTATCGATTCAGGCCTGGCATCCAGGCCTCTATGTCAAACTTGCGGTATGCAGGAGCACCTAGATCCGCTGTTGGCATGTCCAAAGTGCTGCAGAGAATGGGGGTGTAAAGAGAATAGTACATTAAGTGAGCCTTGTGAGGACAGGTGTGAGATGAGGTGGAAGAGCACATAATGAGCAGACCAAGAAAGGAACAAGAAAGCATTCACCAGATTCCAGCACACGTACACAAAGTGCAGGCCGAGGGCAGTGTACATGTCCTCCTCGATCTGAATGAGCTCCTGGTGAAAGGCATCGCTGTCCTCCGGGCGGCACACCACAAACATCTCCAGCTTGCTGAACTGGTGCACGCGGTACAACCCCCTGTGTTGACAGCGGCACAGCAGGGGCAGAATGCATGGGTGACGGCAGGATGGGATGAAGACCAGGTTAAACACGAGCTCACTGGTGAAAACACGACGTGAGTGTGTAAAATGGGCGAAAATTCCCGGAATTGAGTGGGTGAACGGAGGTGTTGGGCCCACCTCACCCCGCCCCGTCCAATGGGCTCCCACACAGTGGGCGCACAGGCAACTGCCCGTGGCCACTGCGAGGTGCTTCAGGGGCAGGAGAGAGGCACAGCCCCGGTCGCTCTGGCTTACTTAAATTTGTTTGTTGATTGCTGGCCATGGGAAGAGACCAGCGATCGACCGTCAGTAAGCGGGGAATAACCGTAGCACACACGCACGCCTTGCTATAACACTCAATTTGGTCCGCACAATGTCTACTCTTATCCTCCCAAGCATTGGCGCTCCTAGCAAACCTCTCACCTCCCCTGGCCCCCATTCTACCTGGTGGCAGAGCCGGCAGCGCCAGCCTCTGTGCGGAAGCAGTGGGAGAAGGCCACAACACGCTGCGGCAGATCTGATTCGCTCAGAATCTTATCCATGAAGCTGCCGCCCACGGGAATCTCTGCTGTGCCGGCCAGGCACAGATCCGACCCCTCCACTGAATACACCTGCGTGTTGGCGGCGCGCGGCTGGAAGCCGCATCGCTCGACGACGTGCGCGCGCACGAGGTCGGGCGTGGACACGGGCGTGAAGCCGCGCGCGACGAGCAGCGCGAGCGCCCAGTTGATGAGCGCCATCTCCAGCAGCGCCGCCTCGTTGCGCAAATAGTAGAACTTGGCGCCGCTCACCTGGCGGAAGAGGGGCGCAGGGGGGAAAGGGGGGCGCAGGGGGGGAAGGGGGGCGCAGGGGGCGAAGGGCGACGCGGCGGCGAAGGGGGGCAGAAATATATTTGAAGTGGACGCGCCAGTTGATTCGTCACGCAAATTGCTCAACTTTGTGTGCGGAAGGTGCAATGCTAATTAGAGACACGAAGGAGAAGGAGCAATGAAAGCGAGCAATTCTAGAAAAAAAAAAACAGTTAACCAATGGGAGGGGAGGGAGGGGGCACAGATGTTACAGACACACAGAACCAAAAGCCCATTTGAGTAGCCTCCTTGTTCCCCCATTCATCCACCTCACCCCAGCCTCAACATTCAGTTCTCAACCCATCATCACCCCCTCGCGACCCAGCAGGCCCTCTCTACAACACCCTCACACAGCAGCTCAGCGCACAGCCTTCTGCGCGCACCTCGGCAGCGGAGTCGAAGTCGAAGAGGTCGAGCGCGAGGCCGAGCTCCACGTGGTCCTTGGGGGGAAACGCGAACGCGCGCTTCTCGCCCACCGTCCGCAAAGTGACAGCCACTTCCTCTCCGCCACGTGGCACGTCAGGATGGGTCAGGTTGGGAAGGCGCTGGCCTTCCCGCTGCAGCTCAGATGCCACCTCCCCCAGGTCGGCCTCGAGGCCCGCGAGCACGTCCTTGAGGTGCTTGCCCTCGCTGACCAGCCTCGCCCTCTCCTCCGCCTCCAGCTTCGCCTTCATCGCATTCGCCACTCGGTTCCGCTCCGCGCGTAGCCGATCCACCTCCTAAATGATTCTCACCCACGCAAACAAGCACACGCCATGCAAGCAAACGCCATACGAGCACACACCATGTTATCAAACGTTGTACAAGCACATGCCATCCAATGTACAAGCACATGCCATCCAATCACACGCCATGCAAGCACACGCCAGCCATGCAGACCATGCATGATAGACTGCGAATCAGCAACAGCCTAGAGATCCAGGAAGGAACAGTCTTGCAAGGAGTAAATGCTGTACTTCTTTTAAGGGAAGAAGAGACGTATCCATACCAGATTTTTCGAAACAAAGTCTTCGTAGAGCTCCACGACACGAGCCACGTCAGCATTGGACTGTCGTTCCTTCACATTAGCCTCCATTAACTCCCGATTCTCTCGAATCCACTTGAAGTCAATGCTCGCCTTCCACGCGGCAGGAGGAGCAGCAGCCACTTTCACGGAACCGTCGTTCGATTGGCTCGGCGGGGTAACTTCCTTGGCCTCCACAGCCGCGGAAGAAGCGACCACAGACGGAATCGCCGACGATACCGACGCATATGGTCTGAATCGTTCATTACGTAATTGAAGCTGAGTTCCAAGGAACGAATCAAGGCGGTTTCCTTGGACCAAGACGTTTGACGTAGCTTTCTTGTGCAATCCGCACGACTTGGCGGTTGAAATGGCAGGTAGTCTAAGCGACAAGCTTAATGCCTCTGCTGCGTGACACGCCATTGTGGCAATTCGTTGCTGAGGCAAGCTGAATCCAGGAACCGATGATTCGAAAATGTTGAGCTGGCGGATCACAGGAAATGGCAAGCCGTGGCTCGAAAACAGCAGTCTCATAAACCCGCGCCGAGAAACGTTCATGCCCTAGTCGCTCTCGCCAGATGCCACTAACAAGCTGCTCAGTAGAAGCGGCTAACTCTTCAATCAGCACGTCCTGAGAAAAACCGAAAAGCCCTGCAAGGTTTCCGTCAATGACTATCCTTTCTGGTCAGTTAGCAGTTGTGAGATAGAAGGAATTTCTTCTCTCGATTGTGGTGGAGGCGTGCGAAATGTTATCCTGAGCGGATGTTATCGGGGCTGTGGAGGGGCTGGGTCCACGTCATCGACAACTGGCAAATGCAATCGGCTTCCCGTGATGCCACGTCTTGGCCCCATGGTATTAAGAATTATTGAGAAACATTAGATCAGTCTACACGCAATTACTGACGGATATTCCAATTAGCATGAAACTTCAGGCAAGTGAAACCTAAATCTATGCAGGACTAAATAAGAATTAGAGATGCTGTCAGAGTAGGGTCACAAATCTCTTCCAATAAATAAACCTGCAAAACAACACATCCCATGAAAGTTAGAAACCCCAGCAGTAGGCACAAACTCGGCGGCGCTCAAATACGACCACGAACCTGAGTTGCAGGGCTACCAATTCTTGCCACCTCGTCTGCCACCTCGATTACCCCCTCGGTTATAGCCACCACCACGCCGGCCTTTCTGAGTTCCACCTCCCCTGGTGAATCTGAACGGGCCCGGTTCACTTGGCTCTGCTGCTGGCCCATCCTTGCTGTCAGCCTCAAACTTAAATGCCTCACTCTTTCTGCCAGCACTTTCATTGCTTGAACCTGTAGGCACAGCTACGGCTTCAGCCGACACAGGTTCAGCGGGCATAGGTCCAGCAGGCACAGTTTCAGAAGGCGGAGCTTCGGCAGGAGTAGCTTCGGCCAGAGTAGCTTCGGCAGGGCTAGCTTCGGCAGAAGTAGCCTCGGCAGGAGTAGCCTCGGTAGGAGTAGCCTCGGCAGGAGTAGCCTCGGCAGGAGTAGCCTCGGCAGGAGTAGCCTCGGCAGGAGTAGCCTCGGCAGAAGTAGGCTCGGCAGAAGTAGGCTCGGCAGGAGCAGCCTCGGCAGGAGTAGGCTCGGCAGGAGTAGGCTCGGCTTGAGTAGCTTCAGCAGGAGTGGCTCCAGCAGGGGTGGCTTCAGCAGGAGTGGTTTCAGCTGGCGTAGCTTCACCTGCCTCACTCACAGCACTGTCCTGGTTCACTGCATCATCCTGATTCACTGCACTGACCTCATTCACCGCATCGCCCTGGTTCTCAACACCGTCCTCCAAGGCAGCATTAGATTCCTCCTGATGCTCCTGCACGCCAGCCTCAGGGTGGACGGCAGGTGGGACACCACTGACACACGACTCCAGCACAACCACCTGCTCGGAGTCCCCACCCTCTTTCGGTTCCACCTCCTCTTGCGCCGCCTCTCCATGCTTCTCCTCCTGCTGCACCACCTTCTCTTCCTCCCCTTGCCCTGACACCTCTGCTTCCTTCTCATGCACCTCCTCGCCAATCACCTGTTGCTCCCCTTCCTGCTCGCTCTGCACCTTCTCCTCCTCCACCACCTCCCTCTCAACCCCCCCATCGCCCATGCCACCCACTGCTGCTGCTGCCTGTCCCTCCACTGCATCCTCCTCCAGGCTGCCCTCACTGCTGCTGCTGTCGTCGCTGCCAGCGAGACTGCGAGTGGACAGCCCGTCAAACGACTTAAGGTTCTCATCCTTCTCTTTCTCTTCTTGCTGCTGCTGCTGCTGCACTGCCGCTGCCTCCCGCTGCTGCTGAATCAGCGCTGCCAGCTGGCTCTCCAGCTCCTTCACACGCCCCGCCAGCTCATCACGCTCACTGCCTGCCAGCTCAGCAGCCCTCTCGGCTGCCACTTTGGCAGCGTCCAGCTGGCGATTCTCCTCGAGTAACGCCCTTACATCCTCCATCTGCTGCGGTGTCAGCCCTATCGGCACCTCTGCTGACTCTTGTTGCTGCTGCTGCTGCTGCTGCTCCTGTGGGTGATGCTGCTTCTGCATCTGCTGGCACTGCTTCTTGCTTCGATGATGCAGCTACTGCAGCTGCACCCGCTCCTCCTGCTGCCCCTGCTCGTATCACCACTCCCAGTGCTTCCTCCTGAGCTTCCCTCATCTTCCTCCACTCGTCCAGCCTTCCCTCACTCTCCTCCAGCCTTTCCTCACTCTCCTTCAACCTCCTTTCCCTCTCCCCAACCCTCCCCTCACTCTCCTCCAGCTGCTTCTCACTCTCTCTCAGCCTCTCCTCAGTCTCTCTAACCCTAGCTTCCAGCACAACACACTCCTCTCTCACCTTCACACTCTCTTTCTCCGCTTCAACCATCGCCTCTTTCCTCCCAGCTTCCATCCCTTTCTTGAACGCCTCGACTGCTTGCTCCTCCCCGGCTGCTACAGCCGCCGCCACAGCTACAGCTACCTCTGCCTCATGCGCAGCCATAGCCTCTGCTACAGCAGTCGCAACTGCACCAGCCCCTGCAGCCTCAACCTCTTTGATTCTCTCGGCAGCATTCGCCTCAGCTTCCTCCCTCACTGCTTCCACCTCCTTCCTCCTCTCCTCCCGCTCTCGCTCCAACTCCAGCCTTGCAGCCTCTGCTGCTGCCTCGGCAGCTGCTTCAGAAGCACGCACAGCAGCAGCCACCACTTGCTCTTGAGACGCTTCTGCAGCCTGCAGCGCCTCTAGCGCCTCTCTCTCCTTCACTCTCATCTCCTCCACTCTCCTCGCACTCTCCTGCGCGCTCCTCTCACTCACTTCCAGTTCATTCTGCAGCACCACACACCTCTCCTTAGCAGCATCCGCCTCTGCCCTCGCATCAGCAGCCAAGGCTTCAGCTGCCTTCACCGCTTCAGCAGCAGCAGCAGCCCTAGCCTCGGCCTCCGCCACTGCAGCTGCAGCTGCGCTCATCCCCTCCTCTAGCCCCTCCTCCCTTTGCATAACAGCACGCAGCTGCTTCTGTAGCAAACTCATCTGCTGCTCCCTCTCCTCTGCTGCTGCCCCTGCTTCACCAAGCTCCCTCTGCCTCTCCTCAATCTCTCTCACGGCAGCCTCAAGCCTGCTCTCTATCTCAGCAGCAGCAGAGCGGCTGCTCTCAAGCTCCGCGCTCAGCTCTCCCATCCGCGCCTCATGCTCCGCTATAAGCTGCCCCTGTTGCGTTATAATCGCCTGTGCGGCCTCTGAAGCAGCCTCCTGCATTTCCACGAGCTGCCTGTACTGCCTCTTCAGCTCCTCCACCTCCTCTCGCGCCCCAGCAGCAGCAGCCTCTGCAGAAGAAACGGCTTCAGAAGCAGCAGCTTTGGCAGCAGTCACAGCTTCAGCAGCAGCAGCCTCTGCAGCAGTCACAGCTTCAGCAGCAGCAGCCTCTGCAGCAGTCACAGCTTCAGCAGCAGCAGCCTCTGCAGCAGTCACAGCTGAACTCGCTTCGGCCTTCGCTCTCCCTGCCTGCTCTCTAGCCGCCTCGGCTGCTGCCTCTGCCTGTGCTATCGCCGCCCTAGCTGCCGCTTCAGCAGCCTCAGCAGCAGCAGCAGCAGCAGCAGCAGCAGCAGTAACAGCAGCTGCTCGCTCCTCTGCCAAAGCCTTAGCCGCCTCTGCCTGCTCGCATGCTGCTAAGAGCACTGCCTCGGCTGCTGCTGCCGCCACTGCTGCCTCCTCCGCCTTCCCCCTCCACTCCTCCAGCTCTTCAGCCACAGCACTGAACTCCTCGCCCTTCTTCTCCCACGCCTCTAGCTTTGCGTCCCTCTCTGCCAGAGCCTGCTGCAGGCCTGCTCGCTCCTGGTCCAATGCAGACTGCGCCTGCTCCAATATAGAGTTCCTCTCTTGCAGCACAACGCGCCCCTGCTCCGCTAGGGAGTATACCCGTTCCAGCGACACGAATTTCTCCTGCAGCAGCTGCACCTCCTGCTCTAGCGCAGGGGACAAGGTTGGCGCAGGTGTGTTGCTGGGAGCGGGCGCCCCTTCCTCTTCCGATGAGTTGGTGGGTGCGAGCATACTCCCCTCCCCCTCGTCCCCTGATACCACCTCACTCTTCCCAGACTCCTCCCCTTCCTCATCCACCACACTCCCGCTCTCCGCTCCACTCTCCTCTCCGCTCTCCGCCTTTCCTTCCGCGCTCCTCCCCTCTCCGCTTCCCCCCGCGCCCGTCTCCTCCCGCTCCCGCACCTCCCCCGTCCGCTGCTGCAGCGCCTCACACTGCTTCTTGAGCGCGTCGCATTTCCGCTCCCACGCCTGCACCAGCGGGCCCATCTCCGCCTCCATCTCCGCGCGCATCTCGTCGCGCCCCTTCTGGTACGAGATCTGCGCCGCCAGCTCTACCGCCGCCACCGCCGCCGCCTCCTTCCGCTCCGCCGCCGCTGCCTGCTCCACCGCCTCGCTCCCCGCCACCTCCCAGTACCGCGCTCGCCCCTCGCTCTCCTCCAATCGCTCCTCCAGCTCCTTCACCCGCGCGCTCGTCGCCTCCGCCTCTTCCGCCATCGCCGCGGAAGCATCCGCCACCTTTTCCCGCGCCATGGCCGCCTCGAGTTTCGCGTCCGCCGCCTCTCGCCGCGCCTCTTCCGCCTCCCGCTTCGCCTCCTCCGCCTCCTCCGCCTGCTGCTTCGCTACAGTCAGCTCCGCTTCAAGCATCTCCACTATATTGACGGCCTCGTGCCCTCTGTTTTCCCAAAGCTCCGCCTTCTCCTGCATTTCCCGCAATTCACTCTCCAGCTGCTCCGCCTGCTCCTGTACCGCCTGGTATTGCGCGCCCAGCGCTCCGCACTCTTCCGCCAGGCGCTCCGCCTCCGCTGCTGCGCGGGCGGCGCGCGCCTCTGCTTCCGCTGCCTCCGCCTCTTTCCGCGCGCTTTCCGCCATGGCCTCCCGCGCAAGCCGCTCCCATTTCTCCGCGGATTCCTCCACCTTGGAAAGCTGCTCCTCCAGCTGCCTGCCCCGGCGCACGGCGATTTCCAGCTCCCGCTGCGCGGCTAGCGATCCTTCCGCCTTCCCCACGCGGTACTGCTCCGCTGCTGCGGCTTCCGCCGCCTGCCTTGCCGCCTCCTTCGCCGCCGCCACAGCCTCCGCAATCTGCGCCTCCAGCACGCCTTCCGCCGCCCTGGACTCCCCCTCTTCAGATTTCTCCCCACTGGCTCCGCCTGTTTCTCCTTCCGCGTTAGCATTTCCACCCCCAGAGGTGTCCCCGCTTCCGCTTCTTCCCCCCTTGCCCCTTTCCAGCTCCTTCAGCTTCCGCAACAATGCCTGGCACTGTTCCGCCCGGGCTTCCGCCTCTCTCTCCGCCTCCGCCGCCCTCGCTTCCACACGCGCCTTCTCCGCGCGCTGCTCCTCCAGCGCGCGCTCAAGCTCCGCCAGCCCGTCCATCTGCTGCGCAACCCCCTCCTCCTGGCGCAGCAGCTGCGTTTGCATGTCTAGGATCATCTCGTCGCGCCTGCGCAGCTGCGCGCGCAGCCGCAGCACTTCCTCGCGGCGGGAGGGGAGCCCCGCGGCGGAAGAGGGGCTGGACGTATGCGCGGACGCCCCCAGCCCGGAGAAAGTCCCCACGCCGCTCCCCAGAAGACCCAGCGGCGTTCCGCTGCTCCCCGCGCCTGTGCCATCAGTTCCGCCGCCGCCGCTGGGGCTGGCGCCGGTGAAGCGGAACACGCCAGGAGAAGGGGAAGAAAAGGGCGCGTGCGGCGCCGCGCGCTCACCAGTCTGTGAGGGGGTGCGCAGCTGAAGCGAGGAGGACGGGCCCGCACCCGCGCCAGGAGCGGAGCTCTCAGGCGTAAACAGGGGCGCTTTCCCCTTAGCCGCCGCAGCTGCCACGGCGGACGTCGCTGCAAGCGCGTCGGAAGGAAGCGCAGCCCAGAACTCCGGCGCGTCCTTCCCCAGCAGACCCAGGCCCACAGGGGGAACCCCTCCCGTTGCTGCGCCTTGCGCCACGAGGATGTGGTGAGGGGGAGCGAAAGGGGGAAGGGAGGGGGCGGCGAGCGCGCCTGCAGCAGCGGCGGCTGTGCCGGCTGCCATGGCAGCGGCGGTGGCGGCGGCCGCGTCTTGACCCGAGGAGAGGGAATAAGTCCGCGCCCTGCTGCTTGCTCCACCAGCACCAGCAGCAGCGGCGGCGGAGAAAGAAGGAGAGTAGCCATCAGCGGTGTAAGCAGCGGCACTCGTCGCACTGCCCTCTTTGTAAGCCCTGCTGCTGCTTCCGCCTCGTCTCCGCCTCTCGCTGTAGCTCCCCCGCTCCGCGGGCGCAAGCCTTTCCCCTAGGTACCCCCCCTGCCCGGAGTACTGCTCCCCCAGATAAGCCTCGCGAGACTCCCCGCTGTCCTCTGGCGCGCAATCAGCCCCTCGCGCGCGGGGCCCCCCCCCGTGCCCCTCGTGCCCGCGCGAGTGCGCGTGCCTGTGGTCGTATGCGCGGTCGAGGTGGTGGCTGTGGCGGCTGCTGCTGCGCCTGCTGCTGCGCCCCCCGCCATCCCCCGTGACGCTGCTGCCGCGGTGACCGCTCAAGGCGCCTGGAGGACAGGGGGAAGGGTTGGTAGACACATGGAGGTCGAGGGAGGGGATGACTGGCGACGGTCGACGAGCGGGAGCGGGAACAGGAGGAACAGAAAGCTGTTGGGTGCTTGGAGAAGAAGAGAGGGAGAGGGTGGTGGGTGGAAGGGAGGGAGAAAGGGAGACAGGAGAGAAAAGGAAACGGGAGCGTGAGGAACACTGTCATTGCCACGTTTCCGTTTCCCGCCGTGCCACTCACCGTCCCCGCCGACCCGAGACGACTCTCCGTCGCGGCTCCTTTCCGTCCGTCCGTCGCGTCTTCTCAGCCTCCGAATCTCATCCGCGCTTCCCGAACCTGACATCTGTCCCGAGCCTGACAGCTGCCCCGAGCCTGACATGCCGAAGCTATCCGACGGTCCGGTGGAGCCGACGCAGGACTCCGTGAGGTGCGCCTTGCGCCGCTTGCTGCCCACCGCGGACGCCGCCGCGGCGATTGCGCCGCCCGCCAGCAGCACCCACGTGAGGGTGTCGCGGGGAAGGAACTCCTGCGCGTACCAGGCACGGCGGAAGAACGGGGGAAGCCGGACAATGGGAGGAGGGGCGAGGGGAAAGGTGTGGGACAGGGCGACGAAACTACTATAATTTAATTATCTTTTACGCAATAAGTAAGTTACGGCACAAAATTGATGGTCACGAGAGGCACGACGGTGTACGAGGGGATGACTGACCCGTTGAGGGGACACGTCCCGCCGCCTCTCCCGCGACGAGTCCCGCGCGCCGGCCCTCTCCTGCTGCTCGCGCATGCGCCTGAGGCGCGCGGCGTCCTCCTCGCGGCGCTGCAGCTCCTGCAGCAGCTGCTGCTCGCTCAGCTCCTCCCACCGCGTGCGCGGCGACATCTCCATGTCCATCGGGAGAACGCGCGTCTGCCCCTCCTCGCGGATCGCCTTCGCTTCGCCGTCGTCATCTGCTTCGGTATCTTCCCGAAGCTCCATGACGAACGGGAGCGAGGATCGGCGGTGCAGGGAGGGCTTCTTTTCCGAGCTACAGATTTTTTCGCCCGTAATTGACGGCGGCTCCGGCGGGTGCTTCATATCCTCCAGGAGCTCTGGTTGTTTGCCGGCGAAGCTCGATTCGTCGCCTTCCGTCGAGTCGTCTTGCGACGGTTCTGCGTGTCGCTCGAATAGGAGCTTGCGAAGAATGCGAGGGTCGAGCGATAACGACCGCTGCGGGCAGTTAAAGAAGCGAGGAAGGGAGAGGGGAAGCGGTAACGGAGACTGCTTCGGCTCCTGGTCTGCATGAGACTGCTGCTGCTCGTCGCCGTCGGTGCTCTGCTCTTGTTCAGCTGGCTGCTCGGTTTGAGCCTGGTCATTCTGATTCTGGCCGTTTGCTTGTTGCTGCGACAGCGGTTGCTGTTTCTTGCGCTGCTGCGGCGAAGGCAGGAACTGCGTGCGGTACGAACTGGATGGTCGCGCGAGGTTGCTGATGAAGCTGGCGAGCGACGACTCCGACGACGACTCTGGCGCTTGCGACAGCCTCACGCGATTCTGCACGGAGTGATCCATCATTGGGAACATCAAGGCAACAACGATGGGAGGCAGAACAATCCGGTGCTTGTTTGGAAACGGAAATAGAAACCCGTGATTGGCTCCGTGCGTGTACATGCCGGACATTTGCGTCCAGAGAGAGGTCGCAACTAAAGACTTAATTAAACATAACGCCATGGTCAACCAGATGAAGACAGCTGTAAGCATGCGTATCAAAGCGTGAACATTGGGCATGGAGAACAGAGAACCGGACCGTACCCGAATGCTGATGCCCTTATCGTCCAGCGTATACGAAGACCATCCTTCACGCTCCATCTGGAAAGTCGGAAACTTGATCCAGACGATGACGTAATGTCAGTGAAAGCGTCTCCTAAACTAAGAAATCAGTGTCAGTGATAGTGTCTCCTAGAGCGCCAGCTCTAACAGTCATGTCAGGCGGAACAAGCTGGCCATTTCCTAACAGGTGACTTGAGCAAGGATAGCTACCAAAAGCAAGGATAGAACAAACGCAAAGCCAGCACCCCCGAGCTAATCTCGATAGAAGTGTTCGCCAAGCAATCCCCGAAGAAAGGACGTTCAAGTACAATCGGCCGCCAACAGCTTTGCCAACGAAAAATTGGCCCCCAAGAAAAGTAGGCGCTAACGGACCTCAAAAACTTCAAGCCGCTAATGACCGTCAATCTAATTCCTCTCTAAGCCGGACGATGAAATCGAACGGTGGAAACTCTGTCAAAAGGTCAGCCCTTTTTGCCTTGACGCTGCACCTCGAGACTCGTTTTTGCATGCTCGCTCAAACGGGGAGGCTCGGTTTGGCGTGTCGCTTGTGGCGTGGAAGGGTTCGCGCCAAATTGGCACAGTAAAGCCACGTCAAGCAACGGACAAGCGAAAAAAGTATTAGCTCACAAAAACTGTTACAGTTTTTGTATGCGAGAAATAAGGGGGCACATCTATAACGCGTTCATCCCGTTTGTTTGCTTTCGCAACACGTCGCAGTGCCAAACTCTCGTCGGTGACATGCATGGCATTGCCATCCATCCAGCCATCACGTAGGCGGGGGGAACAAAGTGCGTCGCAACGCAACGAGAGCTCTCGCAATCTGATGTCTGTTCACCGCATTGATAGCTTCTGCAAAGCTCTGTAACCGTAGAGAACCATATTACAGCTCTCAGATACGTCAAACCCAGATCCGCTTCATCCACACCCCCTCCGCACCCTTTCTCTCCCATCTGTGAGATAAGCCATTTTACGGCTCTGCTTGGAACTCTCCGCGGTGGAGCCTGGCAAATCAAGGGAGCTGGTTCTCAGCTCTCTTGATTGCTCACAGCACTCCCCCTGAACGCCCTCAGCACTCATGAATGCCCTCAGCACTCTCCCGATTGCTAGGAAACCCTTTCTGGTCAGTTAAATCTAAAAGGGATAGCCCTTAGCTTCCGAAAAACCGCGTGTCGTAACCGTGTATCATTCTTTACTAGAATTGTACGCGGCAGAGAATCTTCAGGCGCCTTCATTAGGCCTTGATAGAAATCATTTTGCCTGTTGCAAGGCGAGGTCGGTTGAGCCTGCGCTGAACGGCACCCCGCTCTGACCATATTCATCACGAGGTGACGCGGAAGGTGAGTTGATGATATCACTGCGTCGCTGGCTGGTGCTATGGAATTCCAGTTTATTTATTTATTTATTTTATTACGAGCTGGAAATGGCGGAGAAGAATCGCTTCACCCTAAACCCTGCCATTTTCCCGTAAATTTTCCGTTGGCTCTCACCTGGAATTTCCATATTTGACCCGTCGCTACTGCAGCATTCCGCGTCCCTCTGAACGCCATGGACGACCTAGCGAGCGTCTGCAGCACGAGTACGGCGGCCGCTCCGATCGACCCGGCGGAATATTGGCGGCAGCACAACGCTGTCCGCCTCAGAGAGAAGCACTGGGCCAGCGAGCCGGACGACTCCGACGTCGACTCCTGGCGGGGTACGGACGGCTCGTGGGGCGTATCCGGCGCCACCGGATACGGAGCGTCGTGGGGCGCCGCCAACAGCTCGGGATGGGGCACCTCTACCGCACCCGCCGCCGCGCCAGGGCCGGCGCTGGCCGCAAGTCAAGCCCGCAGCAGCAGCAGCAGCAGCAGCAGGTGCATCAGGGGCGGGTGCAGCAGCGGCGGCAGTGGCAGGAGCAGTGACGGCGGGCGAGGCGAAGAAGAAAAAAGCGGCGAAGAAGGCGCCTGCTGCAGCGGCGTCCTCCCCCACTGCCGCAGCCGCGGCCGCGCAGAAGAAACAGCCGCTGGCGAAGTCCGGCAGCCCCGCGCCCGCCACGACGAAGAAGAAGAAGAAGAAAGACGTCGTGGGCCCTGGCGTGGCAGCTGTGTCGCCGGGTGGGGCTCTCGCCGGTTACAGCGTCAGCGGTTACAAGCCGCCCTCGGTGGTAACCACCGCGGCGACCGCAGCTAGCACGAGCTCCACCCGTTCGGTGGCTGGGAGCAGCGGCGCGATTCCCTGGTGGGCTTCGCTGGGCGGCGGCGCGCCTGCCGCAACCGCCGCCGCTTCTGCTGGCGGCAGCAGTGCGCCTGGCAGCAGTGCGCCTGGCAGCACGAGCTCCGTGTCAGCATCGCCGTCGCCCCGCGTTCCGCCAATGGCGCCCCTTCCGCCAGCGGCTGCGCCACAACTACCTCCGCCTCATCAATCCTCCTTCCCGCCCCATGGCCCCGCGGCTTTCACTCCCTCCGCCCCGCATCTCCCCCAGCAACCGCAACCCTTCCCGCCTCCGCCGCATTCCGCGGGGCCTTCCGCCCCGGCGGGGTATGCGCCATCCGCGCAGGGGTCGTATGGCGGAAGAGCTCCTTCCCCCCCGACGTGGGGGAATACTCCCGCTAACGTACCGATTGGTCTGGCTGGCCAGATTTCCAGCCAGCCTCAAGCTTGGTCCGGACCGAACCAGGCTGCTGGCTGGTCCGGGCCGAACCAACCTGGACAGCCTTGGCCTGAGCAGATGCAACAGCCCCATGGTTTGTTGGGTCCGGGTCAGAGCTGGCAGGGGCCAAACCAAGGGCCTCCGGGTTGGCAGGGGCCGAACCAGGGGCCTCAGGGATGGCAGGGCCCGAACCAAGGGCCTCCGGGTTGGCAGGGGGCGAATGGAGCCCCTCAAGGCTGGCAGGGTGCAAATCAAGGGCCTCAGGGCTGGGGAGCGCAGACAGGGCTGGGGCAGGGACCTGGGCAGCAGACGCATGCCGGAGCGTGGTGGGAGGAGCAGGGGCAGGGGCAGGGGCAGGGGCAGGGGCAGGGGCAGGGGCAGGGGCAATGGCAAGCACAGGCCCAGGGACAGGGGCAGGGGCAGGGGCAGTCGCAGTGGCAACTGAAGGCGCATGGAGCGGAGGATTGGCAGGCGGCGCAAGCTAAGGGGCAAGAACCGTGGGGCAGCGCACATGGACCAGCGGCGCAGCAGGTGGGGCACGGAGGGAGGCATGGCGGGGAATGGTGGGAGCGCGATGTTACCGGCGAGATGGGGCCTGCCAGCCAACGGCCTCCCTCGAACGCCAGCCTGCAGTCAAGCGTTGGCCCAAATGTTGGCACGCATTCAAGCATGGGCTCTCAGCCCAATGCGCCACAGCACGTGGCGGCGCCGCAGGCGGTCCGTGTGGTGTCCGCTGCGCCCTCCGTGCCCCCGCCGCAGGCGCAGCCGCCAGCGCCATCCGCAGCAGCGCCATGGCGTCCTGCGCCCGCTGCAGCAGCAGGCGCAGGAGGGGGAGGGGGAGGGGGAGCGGCGCAGGGAGCAGGGTTACTGGCGGCGGCGGGAGCTGGCGCGCAGCGTTGGGGAGGCAGCCAAGGAGCGCCACAGCCGCCGCGCACTCCCTCTGACTCAGGCTCTGATGCCAGCCGGTGGCGCGCCAGAGAGTCTGCCTCCGATGCGAGTCGGTACTCCGCGCCCGCTGCTGCTCCTGCCGCTGCTGCTGCTGCTGCCGCTGCGGCTGCTGCTGGTGCTTCCGCGGGCACTTCGTGGGGTGCTAGCACGGCTGCCGCGCCTATCAATGCGGGTGCTGGCTCCGACGCCAGCAGCTGGCGCCGCAGCGTCTCTTCCTCTACCACGCACCCCGCTCCTCCCGCTGTTAACGCGCCTGCCGCTGCTTCTGTCTCTGCTTGGGATGCCACCCCTGCGCCCTCAGCCGCGCCCGCCCCTGCCAGCACCGCGCCTGCCTCTTCTGCTGCGTTTTCAAGCACAGCCGCTGGCGACGCCGCCACAGCTGCGAGCAGTGGAGGCGTGGAGGGGCAGGTGGCAGGCAAGGTGCCGATCTACGATGGGTGGGGCGATGTCATCGGGTGGAAGGACGCTCCTGTTGATACTGCTGCTGCTGCTATTCCTGCCGCTGCTCTTCCTGCCGCTGCCGCCACTGGCGCGGCTGCTGACGGGGCCGCTGCTGGGGCTGCTGGGGGTGCTGCTGCTGACGCTGGTGCGCAGGAGGGTGAGTATGCGGAGGGGGAGTATGGCGAGGGGGAGTACGGGGAAGGGGAGTATGGCGAGGGGGAGTATTGGGAGGGGGAGTATGCTGAAGGGGAATATGCGGAGGGGGAATACGCGGAAGGGGAGTATGCGGAGGGAGAGTATGGCGAGGAAGGTAACGCTGCTGGCGACGGTTACGCGGATGGGGGTTATGGGGATGGTGGGGGCGGTGATGGTGGCGGAAAGGAGGCGGAGAGCTCTTTGGAAGAGGGGAAGGCGGAAGCGGATGGGGGGAAATCAGGTGGGGCGAATGAAGAGGGGGGAGAGGAGGACGATGAGTTTTGGGACGCGGAGGAGGGAGAGCTTGAGGGCAGTGTGGGCAGTGGCAGTGGCGGCGAGGGGACTGGCAAGGAGACGAGGGGGCAGCAGGCGCAGATTGGAAAGCAGGCGGCTTCCGCCCAGGCGGGGCCAGTGAAAGAGGCGGTGGGAGGTGAGAGTGTGAGCCTCACTTGGCAGCAGCAGCAGCTGCTAGGGAAGCAAGCCCTCAAACAACACAAGCAGCAACAGCAGCAGCTGAAGTTGCAGCAGCAGCAGCAGCAGAAGCAACAGCAGCAGCAGCAGAAACAGCTGCAGAAGTTGCAGCAGCAACAGCAGGAGGAAAAACAACATCAGCAGCAGTCACAACTGCAGCAGCAGCAACAGTTTGGAGATCAGTCACTTACGTGGCAGCAGCAGCAGCAGCAGCAGTTAGGAAACGAACCGCTTACCTGGCAGCAGCAGCAGCACCAGCAGCAAGAGGGACAACAGCACCAGCAGCAGTTAGGAGAGCAACAGCTTACCTGGCAGCAGCAGCAGCTTCAGCAGCAGCAGCCCCAGCACCAGTGGGGAGGCTCGTCAGTAAAAGCCAAGGACAACGATTCTATGAGCGAACTCAGCTCCGCCAGTGGCTACGTGCGCCCCAGGAGCACTGCTACTAACGAGGATGCGAGTGTAGTCAGCGCTGCCTGGTCCGACGCCAAGTCAGACCTCAACAGCCAATGGGGCGACAGCGCCAGCGCCAGCTGGCAGAGCGGCAGTGGCTGGGGGGGCGGCAATAAGGGGACCGCTGGCGCGGCAGGGGGGAAGGAGGGCGCGGAGTGGGGGGATGCTGCGCCCACCAGCAGCGGCAGAGGCTCGGGCCGAACCTCCGGCAGGTATGTGCCGCCGAGCAAGCGGGTCGGCGGGAGAGGGCAGGGTGAGGCGGCAGGTGTGGGGGGGAAGGGAGGGGCGGAGAAGAGCGCGGGGGTGGGGGCTTCCGCTTGGGAGAGGAGCAGTGGGGACGCTGCTGGTGGTGGTGTGTCCACGTGGGAGAGGAGCAGCGGGGGCTTGAGCGCTGCTGGTGGTGCTGCTGGGGCTCTTGGTTCGTCCACGTGGGAGAGGAGCAGTGGCGGCCTCAGCCCTGGTGCTGTTGATGGTGGTGGCGGTGGTGATGGCTGGGGAGTGAGTGCCGCGACGGTGGATTCGGGCAAGAGTGGGCTGGAGTGGCGCAGGAAGGACGGCGTGTCTCCCACTCATTCCTCCACGTCCTCGCATTCAGCTGCAGCAGCAGCGGCGAATGGGAGAGCAGGGGGTGTGGGAGGGGGTCCTGTGGTAACCGGCAACGGGGAAGGATGGGGGGACGCGGGAGGAGGGGGAGGATGGGGAGGGGCAGCAGCAGGAGCATCAGCGGCGGGTGCAGCAGCAGCAGGTAGCGGTGGTGGTGGCAGCCTCAGTAGTCAGAATGCAGCGGCTGGGACGAGTGGAGGGGGAGGGGGAGGGGGAGCAGTGGACAGCTGGAGGGCGTTTGGGGAGCAGAGGCGGGCGGAGCTGGGGGAGGGCGGATCTGACGAGGACATATGGAAGCAGCAGGAGGAGGACGAGCGCCTGGCGCGCCAGTGGGGGGGCGCGGACAGCGCGGGCTGGGGGGGAAGCAAGGGCGCGGGGGCGGGCAGTGGCGGAAGCAAGGGCGCGGGGGCGGGCAGTGGCGGAAGCAAGGGCGCGGGGGCGGGTGGGGGCAGAAACAAGGGCGGGGGGCTGGGCGAAAGCAAGGGCGCGGGGAGCAGGGCAGGGCGAGGGGACGGTGATGCAGCAGCGGAAGGGAAGTGGAGGAGGGGGGGTAGCGGGGCGGAGGGGAAGGGCGGGGAGTGGAGGAAGAGCAATGAGCAGTCCGTGGCGCCTACTCCCATGCTGCCGCCGATAGTGGCGCACAGGGAGATCGACGGGTGGGAGGCGGGCAGCAGGGGCGACAGCAGCGCGTGGGAGACAGAGAGCAACACATCCGCCGTCTCGTCTCTCAACAAGGGCCTGCGCGCCTGGCAGCACGTCGCTACAGCCTCTGCTGTGGGGTCAGATGTGGCCCCGGCTGTAGCAGCATCGGCTGTAGCATCGGCTGTAGCGCCAGGGAGCGTGGTATCAGAGCGGTCAGCCACTGACAGTATTCTCTCTGCTATTGGCCTCAAGGCTGGGACCAGCGCTGAGACCAGTGCTGAGACGTCTGTCACTCCTGAGACCAGTGGTGCTGGTGCTTCAGCTGGCAACCCTGCTGGTAGCAGCAGCGGCAGTGGCAAGGCGCGTGGGAGCGAGGGCTTGAGAGCAGACGCGCCCCCGTTCCCCGCTGCTGCTGCCTCGTCCACTTCCCTCCCTTCCCCCCTCCGCGCTGACGCCAGCACGTCCCTCCGCGCAGATGCTCCTTCCTTTATCCGCGCCCAAGCACCCTCTTACATCAGTGCCCAGGCACCTTCTTATATCAGCGCGCAGGCGCCTTCTTTCATCCGCGCATCCGCCCCCCCATTCACCCCCTCCACCCCCTCCCCTCCCCCCGGCCACATCCCCGCCCCCTCCACTGTCTCCGCCCCTGGAGCTCTCTCCCCCGCTCCACCGCACCCCACCTCCACGCCCACCTCTCCACCCACCTCCACACCGTCCTCTTACCACGGCCAATCCCCTGCTTTCGCCGATCCTTCCGGCCAATCGTACGGCGACACGGGGGTCTCTTGGCCGGCTATTGCCCCATCCACCGCCTTCCCTTCACTCCCCCAGCACGGTTTGGCCTCTGCTGCTGTACCGCCCGCCTCTGCCTTTGCCCACGGCCTCCCGCCTGATCCAGCGATAGCAGGAGTGGGCATGGGCATGGGGATGGGAATGGGCATGGGCGTGGGCACGGGCGCATTTATTCCAGCAACTGGTGGTGGGAGCATGGGGGGCTGTGGGGAGCAGGGCGGGGGTGGGGGCAGCAGGACGGAGGAGTGGGTGGGGACAGGTGGAAGCCTGGGCAGAGGTGGCCCCGCAAGCACTGTGAGCAGTGCAACTCGTGCAAGCCCTTCCGCTGCAACTTCCGCTGCAGGCGCCGCAAAGCAAGCAACTGCCACAGCCCCTGCCACAGCTGGGCAGAGGGCACAGAACCCCCAGCTCCCCACAGAGATCGGCAGGGGGGGCATGGCATCACCAGGAGCATCATCCTCGTGGTCTCAGTCCGGGTACGGACCACAGTCAGAGCTGCACTCCAGTGTGCTGCGCCTGCCGGCAGCAGGGGAGGGCGGGAGCGAGTACGTGCCCCCTGTGAGCGAGCTGGATGTGGACTTTGACGACAGTGTCAGTAATGCTGGTGCCGCTGATCGGGCCCGCGCTGCTGCTGCTGCCCTGGCTGCTGCTGCTGGGGGAGGAAGGCCGGTCGGTGTGAGTAGGTTCGGCACTGGTGCTGCCGCTACTGCTGCTGCTGCTGCTGCTGCTGCTGTTCCTGCTGCTGCTGCTGCTCGTGTTACCCCCCAAGGGCAAGCCATGGGCGGACTGCTGGGTGAATACGATGACGACGACGAGGACGATGAGTGTGGTGGCAGGGAGGTGGGAGGGGAGGATGACGACGAGGGCGACGGCGATGAAGGAGAAGGCGAGGACTCGGCATTCGACGTGACCGCCACAGACTACAAGCACTCGCCCTCTGTCGCTCTCTTCCTCGTGGACCTCAAAAAGCTGTCCGCGGATCAGATCAAGGCGCACGACCGAGAGTACAAGTGTCCCGCGTGCAAGGGCGGCAAGGGCGAGACCGACTGGTGGCCAGGGATCCGAGCTCTGCTGCAGCACGCAGAGACGATTCGGTCCAGGAAGATTGGCGCGCACAGGGCGTTTGCTGCGGCGGTTCATGTGGAGCTGCGAGAGAGGGGGATTTTCCTGGGAGGTGGGGGGGTGGGGAGTCAGGGGCAGGAGGGGGTGCTGCAGGGGCAGTGGCGGGGGGTTGGGGGAAGGAGGGCGGAGGAGGGGAATGCAACGGTGGTGTGGCCGCCCGTGGTGATCATCCGGAACACGCGCCTGCGACCCGACGAGGATGGAAGGGTACGTTATGGTGTGATGGTGTGGTGATGGGGATGGGGTGATTGAAAGCGGTTGGGTGGGTGACGGTGGGGTGTATGCGTGCATGCATGCACGGTGGTGTGGCCGCCCGTGGTGATCATCCGGAACACGCGCCTGCGACCTGATGAAGATGGGAGGGTGCGTGCGGGGTGTGGTGGTGATGGGTGGGTGAATGGTCATGGTCGTGAGGGTGATGGTGTGGTGGGTGAGGGTGGGCGGCGGGTTGATGATGGGTGGATGCGTGCATGAAGGATGATGGGTGGATGCGTGCATGAAGGATGATGGGTGGATGCGTGCATGAAGGATGATGGGTGGATGCGTGCATGAAGGATGATGGGTGGATGCGTGCATGAAGGATGATGGGTGGATGCGTGCATGAAGGATGATGGGTGGATGCGTGCATGAAGGATGATGGGAAAGTCTCGTTTGGCAATCAATCACTCCGTTCACGCGGGTTCCTCTTTCCCTTTCACACATTCTTTCCCTCATTATCCATCTTACTACTACTCATGCTGCTTTCACTCACATTCTTCCCTCTTCTCCCTTCGCCCCACTTCACACCCCCCTTCTCTCTCCCCTTCTCTCTCCCCTTCTCTCTCCCCTTCTCTCTCCCCTTCTCTCTCCCCTTCTCTCTCCCCTTCTCTCTCCCCTTCTCCCCTCGCTCCCATCTCTGGCATCTCTGTGAATCTCGGTCATCATGAGGCAGTGGATAGGCATGGGCAGCTATGAGCTGCGGCAGCACTTCGCACACTACCAGCGCATCGTCAAGACCAAGCATGCCTATGGCCCTCAGGTGACCTCATCATCTAAGCACGCTCTCTCCACTCATGCACTCTCCACTCATGCACTCTCCACACTCACACACCTCCACACACACACCTCCACTCACACACCCCCACTCACACACCTCCACTCACACAGTTATACAGACGCACAAGGGAACACTGTCAAAATTCCTGGTTCTCCGTCTCGTTCTCTCACATATCCCTCGTCCACTGCTCTCAGCCAGGTTCTTTCTCGACTGCTCCATGCCCTGTGCCCTCGTACTGCCTGTCTTCCCCCATCCCATCCCATCAGGATGAGCATTCTGGTCTTTGACGCCACGCCGGACGGATTCAAGGAGGCCGAGCGTCTAGCGCAGCAGTTTGGCGGATGGAGCTGACTAGTCTGTCTCATGCTGTGACTGTGCCTGACCCCTTTTTCCTGTCTCTCGTGCTGTCTTCCCCCCACCCACCCATCCCATCAGGGCCATCGCGGCATGAGCATTCTTGTCTTTGATACTACGCCGGACGGATTCAAGGAGGCCGAGCGTCTAGCGCAGTAGTTTGAGAGGGAGGGGCGTCGGAGGATGGAGCTGACTAGTCTGTCTCATGCCGTGACTGTGCCGGACCCCTCTTTCCTGTCCTGCTTCCCGTCGTACGCTCTTCCCCCACCCCATCTGATCAGGGCCATCGCGGCATGAGCATTCTGGTCTTTGACGCCACCCCAGACGGCTTCAAGGAGGCGGAGAGGCTGGCGCAGCAGTTCGAGAAAGAGGGGCGGGGAAGGATGGAGCTGGCACGGCGGTCGGCACCGCTGGTGGACCGGTCGGGCAAGCGCAACCTGTTCGGGTACCTCGCCACGCAGCAGGACGTGGATGAATTCAACCGGTGCTGCAAAGGTGGGGCGGGGGAAAATGGGTTGGGGTGGGAGGAAGGTAGGGGAGGCACAGGTGGGTGGACCGGTCAGGGAAGCGCAACCTGTTTGGGTACCTCGCTACCCAGCAGGATGTCGATGAATTCAACCGGTGCTGTAAAGGTGGGGCAGGTTGGGAGGGGGAGGTAGGGGAGGCATGGGTGGGTGGACCAGTAGGGCAAGAGGAACCTGTTTGGGTACCTCGCTACCCCGCAGGACGTGGACGAATTCAACCGGAACTGCAAAGGTGGGGCAGGGCGCTAGGTGCAGGCATGGACGAGGGACGGAGTATGGGAGGGGGTGGGCTGATGTTTCGGGAAGAGGAACCTGTTTGGGTACCTTTCCCACCAGCAGGATATCGACGAGTACAATCGCTGCTGGAAAGGTGGGGCCGGGCGAGGGTGGACGGGGAACAGCTGGGGGAAGGTGGGACATGGCGGAAGGAAGGGAAAGCACTAAACCATGTGCGCTGAACCATGATTTGTGTGTGTGGCAGGCAAGGCATTGTTGAAGGTGGAGGTGAAGCGGCAGGGGTAGGTGTCATGACTCCGCCACATTGCGCAACCTTGTCTCACCGTCCATTTTCTCCCGTCCGCCCAATCCCCCTGTCCATTTCCGTCCGCCCATGTTTATTCCCGTGTGTGGCAGGCAAGGCGGTACTAAAGGTGGAGGTGAAGAGGCGGAAGGAGGTGGTGGAGGAGCCGATGAGGCGAATGCGCGAGCAGGCCATGCAGGCCGGCCTCTACAAGTCTCAAGTCGTCGAGGTGGGTGGGTTGCTGTGGAAGCATTACTATAGGAAGCAGCATGGTGTGGTGTCGGTCGGTCACTAGTAGAGGTGCGAATCGCAAGTTATCTCACCTGCGCAAGCTGGTGGTGGTGAAGATTGAGAAGTCGCTCGCGCAAGTTATCCCAGCTGCAGCTGCAGGGGCACCTGGAGGAGGAGCGCGAGCGAGCAGGCTGCAGCAGGTGCTGTCATAAACCCCCTTTCCCTTGCCGCTTTCTTTCCCCACCCGCGTTTCAGATGTCGCACAAGCTGGTGGAGGTGAAGATTGAAAAGTCGCAGCTGCAGTAGAGGAGAAGAAGGAGCGCAGGCAGCAGCTTCGCCTGTCATCATCCCCCGCTTTCCCCGCTGCTCTCTCCCTCTCCCCACCTCTCTCCCCCCCCCGCAGATGTCGCACAAGTTGGTGGAGGTGAAGATAGAGAAGCACCAGCTGCAGGAGCAGGTGGAGGAGGAGAAGGAGCGGCGGCAGCAGCTGGCTTCAGAGCTGGAGGGCGAGAAGCAGCAGCGGCAGCACCTGGAGAGCACCGTGCTGAGTGCCGTGAAGCTGATGCACATGAAGGAGGCGGAACTGCAGGCCGTGGTGGCACGCAACAAGCAGCTGGCGGCTCAGCACAAGGAGGAGGTGAGTTGGTGGACTTGTGTGGCTAGCACCGTGTATGGCGTGCCTCGCCTCATGCACCTCCAGAGCACCGTGCTGAGTGCCGTGAAGCTGATGCACATGAAGGAGGCGGAGCTGCAAGCAGTGGTGGCGAGGAACAAGCAGCTGGCGGCACAGCACAAGGAGGAGGTGAGTGTTGGGGAGGAGCTGGTGAGTGCTGGGTTGTTGGACTTGTGTGGCTGGCACCATGTGCCTCACCTCTCGCACCTGGGGAGCACCGTGCTGAATGCTGCCAAGCTCATGCAGATGAAGCGGAGCTGCAGGCCGTGGTGGCAAGGAACAAGCAGCTGGCGGCACAGCACAAAGAAGAGGTGAGCTTAGGGCGAGCAGGTGAGCGGTGGGTTGATTGGCTGATGTGTGTGGCAGGCTAAGCATGCAGGCGGTGCAGATGCGAGATGCTGGCTGCAGGCTCTGGTGGCATGCAACAGATAGCTGGCTGCACAGCACAAGGGTTTGGAGAGGGAGGGGGACCTGGAGGAGAAGGGCGGTGGAGGAGAGGGAGGCGGACCTGGAGTGCACTGCGCTGTCCTCATACCCACCCGCATCCCCTCCGCTCCTCTTCAACGCCCACCTTCCATCCTCTACTCTTTCCCCCCCACCAGGTGGCGAGCTTGGAGGAGGCGTACGCGCGGAGTCTGGAGGAGAGGGAGAGGAGCAGGAGGGCGGTGGAGGAGAGGGAGGCGGATCTGGAGTGGCGGGGGAAGGTGGCCAACGAGCAGCATGTGGCTGCCGCCCGCACGCTGCAGCGCCAGCTGTCCAGCTCATCCGAGCTCAGGTGCGTGCCTCCCTGCCGCACTTCCCTGCTCCACTTCCCTGACTTGGCCTTTCCAGCTCCTCTCGCTCCATTGCCTTTGCATCTTCCCACCCCCTCCCCGCCTCCGCTTTGCCTTTCTTTTTACTCCCTCCTCCTCTTTTCCGTAATCCCCCCAGCCTTCTTTTCCCCTGCCCCCGCCTTGCGACCTTCACTGCCGGCTAACCATCCTTCGTCCTCCCTCCCTCCCCACCTTCTTCCCACAGTGACGACCACAGCAGTGCGCTGCGAGGCAGCCTGCACGCAGCAGCAGTATTCCAAGCTGGTCTCGCCCAACTCAAGCAGCAGCAGCACGAGCGGCAGCTGCAGTTCCGGCAGGGCGTGAAGCAGGCAGAGCTGGCGCTGCTGCAGGAGATGGAGGAGGAGAGAGTGAGGTTTGTAGAGGAGTGCGAGGCGCTAAGGGAGGAGAGCGATGCGACTCTGGACCAGATCGAGTGCCGTGGGGTGGGGACGACGAGGCAGATGGCGGGTGCGGAGGGGAGTGGGAGTGAGGTGGGGGGTGAGTGGTCTGGGAGTGAGGCTGGGAGAGGGGAGGAGGTAGGGAGTGGGGTGGGGAGGGAGAAGGGTGGGCGTGTTGAGGGAGGGGAGGGGGCAGGGGCTGTTGAGGGGGAAAGAGTGGTGGGTGGAGAGGAGGAGGGGGAGCAAGAAGAGGGGGTGAAGGAGAGTGAGGAGGAGGAGCAGGGGGTAGGCGTGTGTGGGGAGCAGGGGGTAGGCGTGTGTGGGATGCAGCAAGAGGCAGAGTTGAGTGGAGACAGTGTTGGGGAGGCAGGGAATGATGAGGACAGGGTGGTTTGTGGAAGGGCAGAGGAGCCAGGAGAGGAGGGAGGAACGGAGGAATGGGGAGAGGGAGGAGGGAAGGAAGAGGCAGAGACACAAGGGACGGTAAGGGAGGAGGTAGGAGAGGAAGAAGGTGAGGAGAAAGAGGAGAAAACAGGTGAGGGGGAAGAGGAGGGACAGGTGGAAGTAAATGATAAATGGGTGGGGGAACGAGGGACAGAAGAAGAGGGGGAAGGAAGCAAGGAAGGGGCAGGGAAGGAAGAAGCGGAGGAAGCGTGGGAGGAAATGGTTGATGAAGGCGAGAAGGG